ATTGCTAGAAAAGCTTCGGGTATATGATTGGAAGCTTTTTTGGAATTTGTCCCAGAACCCCCAAAGTTTCCCTACTATACTCTAAAAAAAACTAAAGTAAAAATAAAGCTATTTCAACTGATATTTGCATAAATTATCTAATCTAAAATAAAAATGAGATGTAAGATTTTTTAGAAACTTATCAAAATCATTTAACTATATACTTAAAATAAAAAAATAAAAATTCAAAAAATGATATAAAAATAAAATACTTGCAAAAATAATCAAAATGGAAAAGAATCTAATAAAATAAAATATGAAAAATTTTGAAAATAATTATGTCTTAAAACTAAGTGAATCAATCAAGTTTTTATATTTTAATCTAACTAGTTTTAAGTTAGAATAATATCTTAAAATAAAAATTTTCTTATACAAAAAAAAATTAGAAGTAGCTTCATTTATATTATATTTTTTTGTTAAATAATATTTTATTTAATTAATTAGGATAATTTTTAGTGATATATATATGGCTTTCTATTAGAAATATAAATTTTAATAATATATTATTTTAAATTTTTTTATTTTTCTATATGCATTAAAAGTTTTTAATATTTTTAATAGCATCATTAAAAAACTTTAAAAATCTATATGAAAATATAGTGATAATCATAAATAATATAATAATAAAATAAAATCTCTTAAATTTAAAAATTTTTTTCAATTCTAAAAATATTTTATAGGATCCTAAGTAATATATAAATAAATCATAAAAAATTGATAAAAATTTACTATTATTTCTATATATTTTTAAGTTAGAATTATAATAATATCAATGAATTACTAAAAAAGAAAATAAAACTTTGATTAATATTATTCAAAATTATCTAAAAAAAAAGATTTATATGATTATTTTATCTTATTTTATGTATATTTTTTTGTTACTTATTTCAGTATTAGTAGTAAGAAAATAGGCTTTTTGGGACAAAAAATCCCAAATGACTTCAAAAGGTCTTCCTAGGTATTACAAATTCAATATATTGAATTTCATATATCAAATTTTTCTACTTTGGGACATTTCTATCTAAAATCTTTTTGGAATCTAATTTGACTAACAAAATTTTTCGCATACATTATAACCAAATTGCCTTCTAATAGCATACCATATTAGTAGTAACTTGCTAGAAGAAAAAATATAGCAGGAATATGAACAAAGCCCCTTTAAGGTGAAGCGAATATGAATGCTATATTTTTTTGACTCATATATTATCCTTTTAATGTATGCTATTATATGAGACAAGTATAGTAATCTTATATATCCTCTCATAATCTTCCATTAGCATACCATAATGGTAGTAATTTGCTAGGAGAAAAAATATAGCAGAAATATGAGTAAGCCCATTAGGGCGAAGCAAATATAAATGCTATATTTTTTAACCTATATGTTACCTTTTAATGTATACTATTATATAAGGTAAAACATAGGAACAAATAATATTCACAAGTTGCAGAATACCGAAGGTACCAAGCATGTACGCAAAACTTAAAAAAATTATGTGATAAAAATGCATATATATTGGGTTCTAAGAACATTTCCAGAACTTTCTCAGCACTAACCCATCACTAGTCTATCACTAGCTTGAATTTTTGCAAGCTTTTGATACTAATAAAAATCTCGAATGCGATATTTACTTGCATGTTTTCTACAAGCACTATAAATAGAGAAAGTTAATTTTCTGCATTCTATACACAGAATTTATCTAGAAGATTTTTAATAGACTTTACATCATTCTGGACGATAGCACCCTTCATTGTATATTTCTCCAATCCTAAGAATATATGGACAATTATAAAATCCCATTCTAATAGTCTCTTCTTTTGAATAAATATATAACTCTAATTATCTGAATAAATTAATTTTTATTTTAAACTTTTTGTAATCATATATAATCTTTAGGAAATATAAGTAGATTACTTAGTAGTATTACTAGCGTATTAGGATAATTATTCAGAAATCTCTGGAGAGATCTGACGCCACCTGAGTTGCCTGAATCTTTCAAGCCACCAGAAGAAAACTCGGAGTCAGAAGAGAAAGAGGACAGCGACTATGAGACTGCCGATGAAAGGTCAGAGGAAGATTCTAAATCTGATAATGAGTCTAAACCTGAAGAAGAGAACAAAATAATATTTTGAAAAATAAAAAATTTAGCTTCGAAAAGAATAGTAGAAACTAAAAGAATTTCTGATTAAGGTTTATGTGTTGATTATCTTGCTATTATCCCAGAAAATTATCATCATAGAAAAGATTCTTTAACTATATTTGAAGATATCAAAAAACAAATTGGTAAAGTTTATAAAAGTGAATTAATGCATTTAGGAGGCATTAAAATAAAAATAGTTCTTATCATTCATATGTATCAGATTATACAAAGAGGATATTTTGAACACTAAATAGATCAAGACATAGCATTTTCAAGTGAAATTTTAGATATTATTCACCAGGATCAAATAGTCCAAATGATTTTATGCCAATATAATGAAACTTTAGATAAAATTGATAAAATGAAGCAAAATCAACATTTAGGCTGGATTTATGATTATGGAAAAAAGATCTTTCTAGAAATAAGTATGTACTTACCACACTGAAGTCGTTCTTATTTTGCTCTATGGAAAATATGGACCAAGCCTCAGCTAAGGATAATTAACTCACAAAATAAAGATATAGATATTTTAAAGTATGTATAAAAGCTTATTTAGCTAGTGAAGAAGCTCGTAGACAGGGTCGAAGAGCAGTACATCTTTATGATATTAATAAGTTATGGCACTTTAATTATATACTAGACTTCATTAGTATAAATTTTCCAGCTACATTATATGATATCGATACATTCAAAGAAAATAATCCAAATTATGCAGTAAATGTGTTATATTCTACGTCAAAAAAATGATAAAGAGTAGACAACTAGAAAGTTAGACCTATTTCGTATATCAGAATATAATTATTAAAGAGAGTATATAGTGGATTTAATTTTATTTACCAAAAGAAAGGAAGATTTGAGGAATCACTGTAATATTAATAAAATCTCATTAGAATTAAATACTCATTACTGTCTCATTAATGGTAAAAATGGATGGAATCAGATTATGCGATCTTGGAATAAGCATTATATTTGAAAATACTTCTGTCACCATTGTATGATTGCACTATTCTCAAGATTAGATTTGCTCTAAGAACATATAGAGCACAATTGTCATGGCCGAAACAATCCTAATGCTAGGCAAAGAGAAATTTTTCCAGAAAAAAGGAATGCATATCATGAAATTCAAAAACTATAAGGTAATGAAAAAAATGTCCCATTTTATTTCGTCAAAGATCTAGAAGCAGATAGTGATCTGATAGAAAAAAATGATATCAATGAAAAAAACCATTAAACTGCAAAAACAGAAACCTAATAATTACAGTTATACTTTAATCTAAATAAATAAAAAAACTTGTGAAAGAAGTTGCCAAGAGTACTTCTAATTCAATTGCAGAGTCATAAAAAAGCATCTAGTATGACTTGGAAGAAATAATCAAACCAAAGTTGTGTAATTCAGAAAAAATAATAATGACAAAGCGAGATTGGCGAAGACATAATTCTGGCAGAAAATGTTATAGATGTGAAGGATTGCTACATGAAACCTAATATAACAAAATAAAATATTTTAACTCAACCAGAAAATTTATAGGCAGTGCACATCATGGTTATGTTAAAATCAAGTGTGAGACCACAGAAGAAAAGTTAGTGGAGGCTAAAGGTTTGAGTATAGAAGATGAAAATATATTCAAAAAAGCAACCAAATGCTGTTTATATAAAATGAAATTTTGAGCTAATATAAATGATAATAAGGTTAGAGATCATAACCATTTCACTGAAAAATATCATAGTCCAGTATATCGTAGCTGTAATCTAAAACTCTGAATAAAATCAGACAAAATTAAGATTCCATTAATTTATCACGAAAGGAAGCATTATAATTTCTATCATAAAGTACAGGAATTGGGTCTAGTTAGTGAAGATAAAATCAAAATAATTGCAGATAATATGGAAAATTATAAGACGATAATAATTGACTAGATTAAATTTATAGATTCCTGTCAATTCCAGTTTCTGTTATTAGAAAAAGTAGTAAATAACTTATATGGTCAAGAAAAGACATCAGAGCAACTAGCAAAGTATTTTCTGATTATGGCACAAAGTATCCTACAATATTTACTTCCACTATTTACACAAAAGAGTAAGTATTTATATGAATTAAATGATCCAGAGTGTTTCTTTAGAACAGAGCTCTCGCAAAGAAAAGAATTTAACATAATACTAGATGGATTAAATTATTGTGAAAATGGCTGTAAAAAATGTAAGCATAAAATAAAGGGTAAAAGTGCAATAGAAAATATAAGGAAGAAGATTTAAAGGAGGTCGAAGATTGTGAGCAAGAAAAAATTTACACTATTAGTCAAAAGCAATATAATTATATGCAGATAATATAAGAGAAAGCAGGATGCAAAACATTTGAGAATTATTACATATTGTATCTAAGGACTGATGTTTTAATATTAGTAGACTCAATCTAGTGATTCTGAATAACAATGAAGGAAGTATCTGGACTAGACCCATTGAACTATATAACATTATCATTATTCACATTTGACATGACATTAAAGTTAACCAAAGTCAAACTTGATTTATTTTATAAAGGACAAGAAGATATGCATGAATTCATTTAACGCTGGTTAAGAGGTGAAAATTCTATGGCATCATGTCATATAGCAAGAGCAAATTTTCCTGAAATGAAAGGTTATAACAAATGAAAAGTTAACAAATAACTTCTATATTTAAATGCTAACAATTTATATGGATGAGCTATGTCAGAATATTTGCCAACAGGAAGATTCAAATGACTTGATATAAATAATTTACCTGATATATGAACTTTATCGCCAACAGCTAAATGGGATAGTGCTTGGGAAGTAAAATTAAAATATCTGGATGAACTTCATCTATTATATAGTAATTATCCACTCTGTCCAGAGTGTAGAATAATAAAGCATACAGAGCTTAGCCTACACCAAAATAAAGATCTAATTAATAAACTGAGTGATGGTAAATTTGCGGTGTGATGGGTAAAATTTTAGATAGATTTAATTGGTAGAATAGAAAGTCAATTTTATTGCCATGTAGATCTTCTA